CTCTCTCTCTCTCTCTCTTCGGGGCCTCAAGCCCAGGGCTGCCTCTCCTCAGGTGGAGTCTGTGTGCGAGACAGTTTAATGTATGTGTATGCCTTTCCTCGGGGAAAGGAGGGAGAGTCGCGTCCAGCGGAGAAGCAGCTGAGGCGATTCCGAGGCTCCCGTTTCCCGCCAAAACCTGACAGGCGCTGCTCGCCCGCCATTGGCTCGGCAGGCTAACGTGACCCAGCGGCCTCACGCGCTCTCTCCCCCCCCCCCCCCCCCCCCCCCCTCCCCCCCCCCCCCCCCCCCCCCCCCCCCCCCCCCGCCATCCATGCTCTCCCCTCCCCAGCAGAACGCCTGCGGCCTACAGGCTACCGAGGCCAAGGCGGGGAGGGAGAGCCTCGCTGACTCGGTGGGCTACTGAGCATGCGCGACACTCAAATGGGCGTTAGGTAACTAACGTGTGGTGGTGCTGCGGGGGCTCTGCCGACTTGCTACCGATCGAAAGGCAGAGGCGCCGAAGGGCGCCTTCCTCCCGCAGCCTTTCACCCTTTTTTCTCCGGAAAGGCGAAATTAAACCCGGGGAAAGCAAAACCAGCGTCTCTTTGTCCTTCTGCAACTTCTGCACGTGAGGCGCTCGAGAAGCGCCTGTCAGGTTTTGGTGGGAAACGGGAGTCTCGGAATCGCCTCAGCTGCTTCTCCGCTGGGCGCCAATGATCTCTGGGTGACCTTGAGTTTAGGTGCTCGTTAGAATACACGTACACGAAGGGCGAAATGGATACTTGCAGCACTCTCGAGGTTTTTTTTATCCTTTATTGTTTTGAAGGAAATAAAAGCCACGGGGCTTGACTCCGAAAAGAACAGCAGGGGAGAGGAAGCTCCTATGGAACCAAAACTTGGTGAAGAGACGGAGAAACAGGAGATCCAAAGCAGGGAACTTTCTTGGACAGAGCAATGGATCTCTGAGATCACCTCTCAGGAATGGGGGAGGGGAGGGGGAATCCCAAAATGGCTAGTATATGCAGAGAATCTGGATCTGGTGGTCCCCAGGCTTCCCTAAGTGCGTCAACCTGACTGATGGTGGGGCACAGAAGTCTCTCCTTGGGGAGACAGAACATTGAAACAATGCAGGGGTGTATCTTCAGGAGGGGGAGAGAGTACAGGTACACCTTGACTTAAAACTGTTTGTTTAGTGCCAGTTACAACAGCACTGGAAAATGTGACTTAGCGGACTGACCCGGCATGGGGGGAGTGGCAGGTGCATGTATGCACGCATCTGTGTGAGCGGCAGCCGTATGCATGCTCTGTACTCAGGTGAATGGAGTTTTAGCAGGCAAGCACCCTCCATTCACACGAGTAGAGGTTCATGCACCAGCACAATCACTTTCCTTTCGTGAAACTTCCTTTCACAAGTGCAGGTCCACCTGTACCTGTAGTTCACACAAATGGAGCTGCACACGCCTGTGTGTGCCTGCTACTAACATACCACCCCATGCTGGGCCAGGCTGCCAGGCGGGAAAGGTTGGGTACCGCTGAATTAGAGGAATCCAGGAGGAATGCGGTCTGTACCCCAGTTAAGCAAAGGGGTTCCTTTTACAGATGCTCAGGTTTTGTCCCTCGTCTGAAGTCAGGAAAAGTTTGTCTTCACATCTGGAAGATTCATCATGTCTTTTTCACGTGGCTGAGCTCACTTACCCAAGCACTTCAGCTGCATCCACCTTCGGATGGCTTCCCCTCACTGGGCATCTTCCTCTGGGAGTTCTGGGTCCCCCACACCTCAGTGAAAGAGAGGACACACACAAAAGGTCCAACAGAATTTTATTTGAAGTGATCCAAAAGGCCCAAATGGCAGGCCTGGGGGCCGGCCGGCCCACCCCTCCCTCCATGCTCCCCTTTCAGGTCTTGACGGACACCTTGCCCTGAGTCCGCTGGAATTCCTGCTGCAGCCGGCTCAGGGCCTCCCGATGCTGCTCCGACTTCCACTCGTAATCCTGAATCTGAGCCTCGTAGGGTTTGCTGGGGACAGAGAACCAGGCCAGTTAATGCCTGAGCATCGGGAGAAACCTCAGAAGAG